GGAAAAACTAGCTCCAAAAGCAGTCAGGAGGGCTTTATGCCACTGCTGTGGTTTTTTTAAGCAGGTTGATTTGATTGTATTTGTTTGCTACAACAGCTAGGCTGTGGTTTATTTCCATGTGTTTTAGGGAAGAGCTTGTTTACTCTGAATGAAACAGACATCTCTGCAGCTGGAGCCTGCTCATTTATCTCCTTTTAATTGCCATGTTTAATTTCTAGTACTTACGTTAGCTTGGTTCATGAATCTTTTCTGATATTTTAGACTGTGACAAGGGCAGCTTATGGATTTCTTTGTGCCTGTCCTGTGCAGAAGTGCTGTGGTTCTATGATTGTTCTCACTTCTTTTTATTGGCACTGGGTTAATTTGTGGATATTTTCAATCCTAGCGGAGAAAGAAAGTGGCATAAGAGATTTAGAAATACTGCCTTTGGATTGTAAAGTGATTTTTGACCCTAAGTTTAGTTTACTAACACTAAAATGAAGTGCATTAGAAGTTCTGCATGCTTTTTAGATGTTACTCCCTGCACAGAGGAAGAGTTTGATTGTTGCAGTGCACTTTGTGCCTGAATATGGATCGGTGCTTCTTGACTGATGGTTAAATATTATTTTTGCTTGTCACCTCTTTTTTTTGGTGTGTTTTCTGAATTTCTTCATGGAGAAATATTGTCAGTCAGTTCTTGCAGTATTGCCTGGCTGTGGTGCTGTAGCATGTGTGGCTCTGCAGTGCTCAGTGGCAAAGAGCCAGCGTGCACCAAAGCAAGCACAGGCTGAGTTCCTTAATAACAGGAGTGAAACGTTGCACCACTCAAATATTTCTGCAGGTTCTCTTAACACTGTAGTGCAGGATAAAGCTAAAAATAAGACCTAGATTCAATAGTAATAAAGCCAGATGTTATAATTGGCAAAGGAATTGGTAATGCACAGGGAAATGGGCAAGACTTGATTATCTGAGATTCATCGTGTTCTGACAAAGCAGGTGGCATCTTGTCAGGCAGCTGCAATATTTTTAAATGATGGCTTTGAGCCTGTTTTGTTAACAAAGTCAGGATTCCAATAAAGCAGGAATCTAATAGAATAGTCACTTCCAAGGTATGTTTACATAAGAATATTGGTTTTATTTAGAGTGGGGTTTGACAGAGGAGCCAGAAGATGTTTGCAATGAATCTCTCCTGGCCCTCGATACAGGCCCCGTGCAAGACAGTGAGTTATTCTTGCTGTAAACCTTTACCCTGGAGCCTGAATCTGATATCTTCTTGTTCCTGGACAATTGTATTTACTTCTAGCAGATATCTTAGATTGTTAGTTAGGTCAGTCTCAAGTGAAAATTATTCTTTTTTGTGAAAAGTAAATTTCTACATTGAAAATCCCTCAGGTGTTTGTGTTGGAGAAATCAACAGAGAAACTTGAAAATGTGGTTTTGAATTAAAGAAAAAAGCAAACTGTCCATACAAAGGAGAGAATATGGAATTTTTTTCCCCCACAGATTTATTTTCTTACCATTAATGACTATAACATACATTTAATTTCTAGTAAAGTAGTGTAATCTCCAGGATGGAGGAACTGGAAGCAATGTTAGGTAAGTACAGTTACATCTGTCATGCAGCAGGTATGCTTGCAGTGGAACCTGGTTTCCAGATATAGCTGTTTCAAATCAAAGTTATCAGCATTTCATGTCAGATCAAATTCATCACAGACTGTAGAAAAATAGAACATGGTGATCCAAGGTGAAATTCAACCCAGGCTTCAGTGGTTTTCAGGTCTCTTGTGCTGTATAATGGTGGCTCTAAAATGTTTCCCCAGGGAATGAAATACAAAGTATTCCCCTTCTGATGAAGGCTCAGGTGCTCTTCTCAACTTCTTTTTCAGTTAATACAATTGCATTTCCACAGTGTCCTCCATCCAAGGATCTCAAGGTGCTGCTGGAGCGTTGATGGAATCAGCCTTCCCAAGCCACAACTGGCCACCACCATCTCGTGTTTGCCATGAAAGGGGATTCACGTGGGGCCAGGGATTTGGGGCACGTGGCAGAGCTAAGACTTCTCCATCATGTCCTGCTGTTCAGTACAGCCCCCTGTACCCCTCAAGAGCTCTCTGGTGGAGGTTATTTGACTTCTATGCAGATAAGCATGAGTTTTGTAGAAGTTTGCTCTCTAGTGAGGCTCAATTTATGCAAAAGAAACACTCTTAAGACACTGCCCACACTTCAGGAAGAGTTTGAGTTGTATAGTCTTCTGTTGGGATAATTTTAAATAGTTTTTAACGTGTTTAAGAGGTGCTTAAGTAATACTTTAAATTGTAATTTGCTTCTTCCCAGTCTGTTTGCAGTAAAAGATTGCAGAAGACAGGTGGCAGTGATTTGTTAAGCCAAAAGCTTGGGCTTCCTGCCAGGGATTTTTTGTTTGGGTTTTTCTCCTGGGTTTTACTGGACCCAGCAGCCATGGTC